ATTGTTCAGCCGAGAGGTTTTTTTCTACGTTAAAACGTGTAAAAAATTATTTGAGAGCAAGTATGGAAGGAGATAAACTAAATTCATTGTTGTTTCAATTACATTATGTAATAAATTTGAATTTATATTAACCAAGGAAAATTAACTGTTACTTTTAGATTGTACAGAATTAATACTACAGAATTAAATCAATCAAAATAAACAAAATTGTTGTTCGTAATAATATAACAATACTGGTCAACCAATGTTAAACAATTTCAAAAACTAAAATGAATAATTAAAGTAATTTGATGTAATACAGATTTAAAATAAAACACGTCCTATACATTGAAGAAATCTCGAAGCAACAAAAAATATTATTGAATGCTAAAGAAATAATTTAATTTTTAAAAAATTTCGTCAAATTGTATTCTTTTAAATATTAAAACGTATTAAAAATTGAATAGATACAATCATTATACTTATTTAAAATTTAATCGGTGTATAAAGATTCGTAAAATATTAAATATATCATATTATACTAGAGTATTAATAAAATAGTTTTAATAATATTCAACATTTTACTTACGACTTTTGAGTGTTCAGTCTTTCACTTTTCAGAGACCAGAGTTGTCGAGTCGTCGAGACCAAATTGCAGAATGAATGTTGTCCAGGCAAGGCTCACCTCAACGCCTACGCGGCGGCGGCGGCGGCATAATAATATAATATTTATTAATAGCGGCCAACGATCGCATTTAATTTTGACAAATTCCCCATACATGTATTGACTATTTTGTGGTTTATCTAGCTATTTTTGAATTATTTCCCCCGATTTTCGGCCGTCGATCATCGCTTATTGTATATTATAATATCATATAAAATAATATAATACAGTGCCGTAGCCAAGGAGGGGGGGGCACCGGGGGCACAAATTAATAAGTGTAGAAAGTATACATTTAAATTCTTTTTTGTAAAATGTATGAAAAGTTAAATTAACTTGAGTGCCTGCGTTTTGGTCCAACCAAGTCGGCTGTTTTCTTCTACGGTGATGAAGATTAAAATCAGATTCTGAATCCATACCAAGATTTGCTGCAAAGGGTTTAGCACTATCAACCAAATCATTCATTCCATCTGAATCTGAATTAATATCTTCTAAAATTTTAATTGTGGCCTCTATTAAAACAGCAGCATCAATTGCACATAGACTTTTTTTTCTAGTGTCTCAGTTAGTGATTTCAATTTGTACATTATATTTTTCATGAATATCAAGGATACAATGAAATCAAATGAATGCATTTTTTTGTGAATACCTAATGCTTTTGTCCTAGTATTTCTATCAAATATTTCAATATGTGAACACATACTTTGCAAAGTGTTACATATAGCTTCAAATGAAACCCAAACAGCTTTAATAGACTCAGCACGGGCTGTCCATCTTGTTTTGGATAAATTTCTTGATTGTAATGTATTATCAACATCCATCATATTTTATTTAATTCACTATACTTTTTATTGCTAGCTGAAAAAAATACTTATTACATATAGGTTTTCCAAGTTGTCAATCATGTCTGACACAATTAGACTAGAATTGCATGCATGTTCCAAAAATGTGTTCATTCGGTGAGCTTTGCATGGAATATAAAAAACAGTATGACCAACAAGTTCTGAAAGCTTAGCTTGTGTACCGTTAAACTGCCCAGACATATTACTAGCATAATCATATGACTATTACTACATTACTGATTAGAGAAATATAATTAAAAATATGCCAGAAACCGAATAAACGTAATTACAAATATTACACCGATGAGTGATGACAATCGTCTGAAACCCCTCAAAATAACACAGCAAGGGCACCTGATCTATTTTTATAACGTTATCGTGAATTTTCGGAAGAGTGATTATTGACTTTGATTAAGTAAACACTATATACTTAATCAATAGTATTACTTAATCAATAGTAATAATATTTATTCTATGGTATTATCATTGATTATATTGTATAATCAACGGTATTATACACAAATCAAAATCATACATATTTTAATACCTTTTATTATTTTAAATTTATGATATAACTTCCTATATAAGCTATAATAATATAATGTATTAATTTAAATTACAATTTTTTGTCAATAAAAACCTTATATTATTAAATTGTTAAATTTCCGACTCGGCGGATCAATATCAAATGAGCCAACTGACCAATTAGTGAGGGGGTGGGTGTCACACCCCCCCTCACAACCCCCTCTAAGGACGGCCCTGGTTAAAGATGCTCATAAACTATCAAAAAAACTGACATGAAAAGACATATAATATTCTAACTTTAAATTTGATAGTTGGTCAAGGTCAATTTTTGAATTTACTGTAAAATGAAAACTAATGGCACAATACTGAACGCAAATTTGCCATATTATACGTTTGTAAGACGGAGACAACACATGCGGATGTGGCGTCCTCAATACCAATTTAGATATTAATTTTGTTGTGTTTGGTGTTTCAGATTGTGAAGTACAACGTTTTCAACATTTTATTGTTAAAGATAAGAAAAATGGCCTTAAAAAAATATAAATTTACATTTATTTATATCACAAAAGTTATTTTTATAATTATACATAACATTTTTCATTATTTTATTTTAATATTAATAATAATAGTGAATATTTCATAACGTAAATTAATAATAAGCAATTAAAACAAAAATATATAAATATAGCTACACAAATTTGTACTTAATGTTGTATCACATTACGAATTTAATGAATTAAAAACTAGTAATTGTCATTAGAAATTATGGTTTAGTTATTGTTATCATATGTTTTTTAGAAACTAAAAAATATAATTTATATAATATTAATAATGAATTTATAAAGTAAATTAATTTTATCATAGGATTATAATGCAAAATAGTATTTAAAACAAGGTTTAAACAATAACATATAAGTATAGGTACATAACTATTTAAAATTAAAAACGAATTAATTAAATTATTAGAAATTAATAAGTTTTTAGAAAATACATAACATAATTAATATTAATAGTGAAATAAGTAAATTAATCAAGAACAATAATAACAATATACTATCATTATACTATACTATATCATCAGACTTGATTTCAGATTTTAACTTGAGTATTTCTAATTTTTTTTTTCTATTTCTAGCTCAAACAATTTTTCATCATTTTCCTTTTTTTAAAAAAAATATGCAAGCTCTTCTTTAGCTAGTTGAGTTTTAATCATTATAAAATTAATTGTATTCTGTCTTACCTCATCTTTTAAATTTTCATACTTTTTTTTTTTTTTGAGGTTGAGAACTATCATTGACACATCTTACCTGTTTTAATTTTGAACTAACTGGTGTTTTTCGTTGAGCTGGAGACCAAGATCTCCAATCTTCAGTGGAAATAATATTGGAAGAAAATTCATTTTGAGCCACATCAGTTTGGTTTTTTGTTTCAATGACAGAGGAATTCAATATGATTATATTTTCTTCATTTACCACATTGCTAGGATTAATATTCTCGTTTACAATAATTGTCTCCTAATAAAAACAAAAACATAATAGGAATTTAGAATATTAGGAATTTAGGATAGGCAAGCATTAAGAATTTATAAACATTTTGAAGACAAAAAAAAATTTAATTTAACTAGGATATCCACATGTTTAAGTTTTATATTGTATAAATAATAAGAAAGACTAGTTGAATAACCTGGCTTTGCTTGCTTGTGTGTTAATAATCGATTCGTATATAAATTGGTTTTTTTTATTATAAAATGATACCTATTGTAATTGTTGGTAAATGTTACTGGTATTGGTGTATTAGATATCTACTACCAATTGTTGAAGATGAATGATTTATATTAAATCCAGAAAAATTATAAATACCATATTATTAATTTCATTATCTGTAAATGTAGTAGTATTCTGTATTTCATTTTCTTCAAAATTTTCTTCAACAATTCCAATATCTAGTTAATGTATATTCAATAAATAATACTCAATAAAATTTAAATATCATCAATCATTGATAATAATAGTATTGTGTGAATTATATTATGTTATTATAAATATCAAGATTGACATTAATACATTATATTTAATACCTACAACGATATTTATTATAATAAGTTAAAATTAAAACTAAAATTATGAATAATGTTTAGATTCATAAGTGATTCATTATTTCATTATAATGTATTACTTTTATAAGAGTGTATATTTATTTAAATTGTGTAAAAACACAATCTAACATGTTCAAGATTTATTATTGACTATTGTTCTTGCAGCAATATTTAATCTACTACTGAGTACTATATGTTACCAATGTCCCATTAGTATTTTAAATTAAAGATACTTTCATTGAACTTATTATTTTTGGTGACTTGTTATGGTGTCAGGCGTCAGCCGTGTCAAGTGTTATTTTATTTTATAATTTATGCTGTGATGTTTCTTATAAATTACATTTACTAGGTACTCAATAGGCATACTAATTAGTGATCTGTATTTCATATATATCATATTATATAATATATATATGGGTATCTGTAATCTGTTTATATTAACATTAACAAATACTGAAAGCTGAATAGCTAAATATTCATAAATATATTCTGATATATTCCACATTTATTATTTTAATAAATTAATGGGAATATGTGATTGTGTAATTGTGTGTATATTAATGTTTTTGTAACTTTGTTAATGTATAATGTTTATATTCAGTTATTGGTACCTGATGTGTCTTTGGAGAAGCAAATTTTCAAAAATGATATTGGTAAGTACATCCAGAAGAATTGTATTAAAAAAATAGAGGATTTTGAATGTGAAGATATTATAAGAAATACATGGACACCAGATGGCAATTATACTTTTCCAATAAAAATCTTTGGAAAAAAAGGAAGAAAATTTAATTTATCTTGGTTACAACGTTGGAATTGGTTGGCCTATTCGGATCTTGAAAAAGGAGTGTTTTGTAAGTATTGTGTGTTTTTTTACAAAAGAGAAGGAGCTGGTAAAGGTATGCATTCACCTCCAAAGTCATTAGTTCATCAACCATTTATTAATTGGAAAGATGCTATTGAGTACTTTAAAATACATGAAAGTAATGAGTATCACAAATTTTCTATGGCTAAAGTTACAGAATTCTTAAAAATAGTTGATAAAAAACAAAACGACGTCTACATCCAGTTACATAAAAGAAATGAGAGTGAAATAAAAAGGAATAGAGATATTTTAAAAGTTATAATTAAAACAGTAATTCTTTGTGGGCGCCAAGGACTTGCTGTTCGAGGTGGCCATGATTCAGGTACCTTAGATTTGAATTTTCCATTACATAACGACGGTAATTTCAGAGCTCTGTTACGTTACCGTATTGATAGTGGTGACGATTTGTTTTTAAATAATATTAAAAGTTGTGGTAAAAATTCTACTAATATCAGTGCTGATATACAAAATGAAGTCATTTCAATTATATGTGATCAAATTCAGACTAAAATTTGTAACAGAATTAAAACAAACAAATTTTTTGTGATATTAGCTGATGAAACAACTGATGTTAGTAGAGTTGAACAGTTTTCTCTTTGTATAAGGTACTTTGATGCTGATGTAAATAAAATAAGAGAATATTTTTTACAATTTGTACCAGTACATAGTACTACAAGAATAGAGCTAGCAAAGACAATAATAAGTACATTGAGTGCTTTAGGATTAAATTTACAGCATATGAGAGGCCAAGGATACGATGGAGCAGCAAATATGGGAGGAGTATTTAGAGGAGTTCAAGCACTTATATTAAAAGAATATCCTAAAGCTCTATACACTCACTGTTTCTCTCATTGTTTAAATTTATGCCTAAATGATGCTTCTATAGCTCAACAAATTAGAAACACATTAAATATAATTCAAGAGGTAAGTTCTTCTTTTCGAATGTCAGCCAAAAGATCACATATATTAAATACAAAATTAGAAAGCAAACCATTTTCTGGGTTAAAAAATATTGTGAAACCAGATGGGTTGAAAGACATGAAGCTCTTTCAATATTTGTCGATGGTTTTTTAAAAATTGTTTTAGCACTGGAGGATCTCATGACTTCAGAAAATGACAAAAGTGCTATTTTATTACACAAATCATTATGCAATTTCCAATTTTTGATTACATGCTCTATAATGGAGAGAGTACTTGGTATAACATACACAATTTCCAAATATTTGCAGACAGAAAATATAGATAGGTTAGGTTAGGTTAGGTTCTACATCTACAAAATTACATCGTTTAAGAAACAAAGAAGAGTTTCAAAAAATCTTTGATAGTGCTATCGAAATGGCTGAAAAGGTTGGCGTGTCTCCAATCATCCCACGGACAGTAGGAACTCAAAAACACCGAGCCAACTATATTGCAAATGATGGCGATTGTTGCACATATTATAGGGTATCAATTTTCTATCCATATTTAGATGATTTGCTCTCATCTTTTAATGAAAGATTTAATTCAAATTCAAGTTTAATATCTTCACTTTCTTGTTTGTTACCGTCTAAAGTAAAAAAAAACACATTTGACGATTTACAAATGGCTTTGGAATTTTATAAAGATGACTTACAAATAGATTCCTATAGTTCGACCTTAAAAGGAGAGTTTGAATTATGGCAAATGAAGTGGGAAACAGAAACAGTAATTCCAACCAACTCCCTGATTGATAGTGATACATTATTAAATTGTCCAGTAGATATTTTTCCTAATGTATATACAATATTGAAAATTTTTACAATCCTGCCAGTTACAACAGCTTCAGTTGAAAGAAGTTTTTCAACTCTTAAGCGTATAAAAACCTATTTGAGAAATTCAACTAGTGAAAATAAACTTAATGGTCTAGCACTGCTAAATGTACATAGGGATATAGATATAGACATAGAATCATTAATTGATGTTTCTGCCAACAGAAAAAAAAGACGTCTAAACTTTAAATTATAAGTAAGTATTTAATATTTAAAATTAAAAAAAAATTATGTTTGTAAATAATTAATTTTTAAACTGAGTTATTTTTTTTTTTTTTTTTATCTGTTGGTTACTCGTTACTGTTACTACTTTATTACAATCGATTAAAGAATAATTTGTTATTTTTAATAATATTATTTACATTTTTTTAACCCATTTGTTAAATAATATTATAAAATATAGAAATATTTTGTTAAGATTATAATCATTTAAATTTGTTTAACTGCTCCTCCTGTTGTAACTGCTTTAACTAAGTTTTTTTTTTATCAGTCGGTTATTGTTTCTACTTTATTATAATTTATAATATACGAGTATATCAAAGAATAATTTGTTATTTTTAATATTTCATTTTTTTAACCCATTTGTTAAATAATCTTATAATATAAAGAAATATTTGTTAAGATTATAATCATTTAAATTTGTTTAACTGCTCCATCATAATCTCTTTTAGTTTTAAATATCCCATTTGTAATTTGTGTAAGGTCATCCATAACTTAATATTTGAATGAAAAATGAAATGTTTTGTTTACAAATTTACAAATTTGCTTACCAATTTTGTTTACAGATCCCGTGAGCATATAACCTATGTGTACTCTATAAATGATGTCCAACTTAGATCAGTCTCTTCAATTACAGACTTAGGAGTAACTTTAACCACTAATTTAAATTTCCGTAATCATATTGAGTGTATTGTGAAAAAATCGTTGAAAATTTTAGGATTTATTAAGCGCCATTCATCTGAATTTAAAGACCTTAGATCATTTAAACTCCTGTACTGTGCATTAGTTAGATCTATTCTCGAATACGGAGCTCCTATCTGGAATCCATACACCAAAACCGATATCGATTTCATTGAACGCGTTCAAAATAGGTTTTTAAAATTCGTAGCCTTTAAATTTAATTTGACCATTGATAATCATGGTTATACACAAATCAGATCTTTTCTTAACATTCCAGCCTTATCCTCCAGACGGGAAATAGCAGATATATCCTTTATATATAAGTTAATTAATGGTATCACCGATGATCCTGATCTTTTAAATTGCATCCCCTTTACTATTCCAGCCTACAATAATCGTTCCACATCTCTGTTTTACATTCCAGTATATAGCACAAACTATTTAAAAAACTCACCTATTCCTAGGGCTATGGCTCTATGCAATACACTTTCGACGAGAGTTGACTTTTTCTTCTCTCCCTTAAAGAAGATAATAAACGCTCACATGAACAATGTGAATACGTGATGCTGGGTTTGCCTTTCAAATTTAATACTATTTTCCCTTTTTAGATTTTTGTAAACTTAATATACCTATAAGATATTTGTTGCTTGTAATATTACTAATATTGTATTTTTCTGTACTTGTATTCAAACTTTGCTCTGTACTATTGGGCCTCGGCCCGTTTTATTCTACTGAATAAACTATTATTATTATTATTAACACGGGTAACTTGTATAGTTATTGGCAGGGGTATAGTTATTGGCACAAAGTAATTTTGTTTTTCGTATATAAAATGTTTGATTATGAATTTTAGAGATATTTTATTTTGATTATACGGTCATATTGATACTGTTTTATTATCAATCTTGATGTTATCATAATATTAATTTGATAATTTGCTATTCGATTTCGTAATGGAGCAGGTTAGGTGACAATAACTATCAAAAACGAAGTCTTAAGGTGCCAATAACTATACAAGTTACCCCATATTGATAATATTGATATAATTATATTAATTAATACATTAATCTATCAATCTATGTTTTAACATAGGTAATATTAATACTTTGTTATGTTAAATATATGGGTACCATAGTTGTTAGCATATAATGGTAGTCATAAAAATAATAGGCCTGTAGTAAATACTTTATAAACAAAGGGACCATAAAGTAATAGGTGATAATCAGGTACCTATTCTAGCATTGCAAAATTTGAGAAAAAAATTAAGTGCCCCCCCCCCAAAAAAAAAAAAAAACAATTTTCTGGCTACGGCACTGATATAATATTAATTATATTTTTAAATTGAATTATTCTTTCTAGCAAGGCACGGTCCCGAGTCCTGACGATCTATTATTATCATTGTTATTATTATTCAAATAGAATCCGTTTTAAATAAATAAATTATGTTCCCTATACAAAACTAAATGTATTATTTGTTATACTGTTATAGTTATTACAATGAATACCTACTTGCAGTCTGCAGTATTAATTTGATTTCTAAATAGGTAATTACAGAGGATGACACTATTAATAGTTTACTATATTATGAAAAATTTAAATATTTTAATTGCTATTCATATATACTACCTATAATAACTTTTCAGTACCGTCGTCCATCTGTATGCTATCGTTAATCGCTACCTCAAGCACCTAACTGTGGGGCGATTGTAAACTCGGCCTGAGGAAAAAAAAACTTCAAAAGGTCTATTGTAAACTCCAAAAATTATATACATTTTCTTATTTTTATTCAGAGTATGAAGTTCGTTATATAAATGTAAAATAAACTAAAATTGAGTAAAAATGTAAGTAATATGTTTCAGTATTAAAAAATATAAGTAAAATGTATCCATGTAAAATTGTATATAAAAGTGTAAAAATACAAGTAAAACTGTACCGTAATAATTAATAATGTATGGTTATTTAAATCTATTTTTTTAAGTAAAAAGCCATGTGTTTGACAACAAATTGTTCCGATAAGATATAGAATATACCTACATAGGCGTGCGCAGACTTAAATTTCTGGTCGAGCCTAGACAATTATAGTGCAATAATATTTGGACTGCGCCCCTAATTTTTTTTTTAACACACCAATATACATGTTGATAATATATTAACCTATTAATGTCTATAGTACTATAGTTATTGTATTTGTATCTACCTATAAAGGTATAATGTTTTTTTTTAGATTAATAAAATTTATGTAATGGTTAGGTTAAGTAGGTACACACAAATATTTTTGATTTTTTTATACTTTCACGACAAACAAAATTTTCATAATCTCCATGAACATATTATTATAAATATATACGCACATTTTACTATTTCCCTAAAAAGTTTCAGGTCGAGCCTGGGCTTGACCGGCTCGCCCCGTCGCACGCCTATGAGAATATAGATACGTTGTTTAATATTTTTAGATTAAATTATAATATCGTGCTTATTATATTATATTGGTCAAAATAATTATCTGGCCGAGTTTACAACTGACCTTCTTTATTATTTTAAATTTCTGGGACGAGTTTACAACAAAAAAGGTAACCTCGGGCCCAGTTTACATTTGCCCTATCTGTGGGCTGTGGTTCGGTAGGCCTATATTGTTATTATTAAGCCGCATTCCCACGACTGGTGTACCTACTTGGCCAATCTTCCTCGATAATTTTCCACTCTTCCGTGTTTTGAAAAATCTAAGAAATGTACAAAATAGTTTTAATTTTTGTTTTAAGTATTTGATATAATAATACGTAAATTATATCGTTAAATAATATTTTTTTAAATAAAGTAAAATTTGCGTAAATATTATACGCGTTTAATTAGATTTAGAATAATGTGTTATACATAATTATGTTTATTAAAAAAAGTAACATAGGTACAGAGGGATTTTGGGGAAAGAATTATAGAATAAAAAAAAAACTAAAAATTAAAGAAATATATGAAAAAAAAGATGCTCTGCTGTACAGTAGGTTACAAGTAGGTCACTGTATAATGGATGGTATTAATTTTGAATTCAATGTTATAATATCATTGTATAAGAAAAAGGATTCTGAGCGGAGACGGTATGTCAGACTATGTATAAGACATATTATATACTTATCTATGGTATTAAAAAAAATTGACCTATAATAAATTCCAAATTAATCATATCACAATATCCATTAGGTACTTATAACACGTTATACATCAACAACAAACCGTGATACTATCATAGATATATAATAGTGTACTTTAGAAGTTTCAAGTACCTACCCACGAATAATATTATACAATCACAACAAAATAACTAAAATACATAGTTATTCTAGGTTTTTTATTACCTATGTAATTTCGTAACTACAGTTATTCGTTTTTGAATTACCACAAAATAAGGAAATTGCTACATGAGAAATCGAGTGAATATCCAATGTTGTAAAAATTTGAATTTCAAACGCTCATAAAAATTTAATTTGGATTTCCGGTAGACATTTTTTTATTACTAAAGGTAGACAAACTTATGAGTAATCTTGTATTACATGTTCATATTTTAGATTTAAAAAGAAAAAATTTTATGAATTTATAACTCGAAAAAATTTGCAAATTTTCGTGATTTTTCCATACTTTGTCAATTTTTGAACTTTAAATGCTTATAAAAAATAATTGTGACGAAGGATTTTTAATATTTTTTATCTGCATTTAAAACAATATACTAGGAGCCTTCTTTTAAATTTTTAACCTTTTTTAACAACAAATAAAATTTTATTGATATTTTTAGAAAAAAAAACTAAAAAAATATGGAAAATCAAAATGTCCCTAAACAGTTCAAAATAAATCAAAATATTTTGAAAATGTTATCGAGTATAGAAAATGCAAATATAAACAACCAGTGAAAATTTCATGTATATACGTTCATTTGTTTTAGAGTTACATCAAAAACCAAAATCGAAAAATGTTATTTACCTACCCATAGGACGTTTGGTCCCCGGTATTTTTAATCACTACATTTAAATGGCTTTTTTTAATTTAAAATTTCAATTATTTTTAAAAAAAGTACAATTTCAATATAATTTATATTAATATATGGGGATGGCCTATCAACAACTTGTAATAAAAATTTCTAATTTTGATTTTTTTTCGATTCCTGCTCCATTTTAAAAACTTGAATTTATAATTTGAATATTGATGTTTAATTTATTCCCAGTTATTTTAACTATTGTCTTCATGTATTAAATAAACGATAATTTTAGTTTTTCAATACTGTACTCTTACCCTTTGGGGTTTTACATATATTTATTTATTTAATAAATTTACACTATATCATATTATTATTATAATTATTATTTATTATTAAAACTAATAACTTTTAAACTAATAACATGTGAAATTACCAATTTTGTTTGAGTTGTTCGGCGACAACGACCATAAAATGAACTCCCGGGGGCCAAATGTCCTATCTCAATAATAGACGGGGTCGAAACGTCCGTGAGCTCATTTTTTTTATGGTGACAAAACGGCGGGGGCGAAACGTCCGCGATTCGCCCCTCGGTCTCCCCTGAATCCGCCACTGTACATAATTTTTATCAAATAAAAAAATGTGTACCTATGTAGTTTGCCTTTTCGAGGGGCCACATTTAACTGGGAAAAAAAACTGTGGGTCAGCTGAGCTCCCCCCCCCCTGGGTCTCCCAATGTGGCTGTTGTATCTCTCAACTATTTTCATACCTATGAGTTTCGTATTATAGTTGATACATAAATGTAAAATGCGCCGGTAATGCTAAAATAATTTTACTCATTTAGTGTATTGTATATTGTAATTTGTAATAACAATTGAGTCATGATTTATTTATTGTAGATATTCAAAAACTTGATTTTTTATGATATTACATATTTTACAATATTATGCGAGGTTATACGCAGCGTATACAATAATAACAAAGACCTCGAGACTCCGACGACGACTAAAAAGAAAAAACTATTACCGTACGCGACTACAAAACATGACATTTTCACTAGTTGTTTATATGTATTACCATATTTTGCTATATACCTACGATAACGTTTTCAAAATATTTTATCTTGGTTTTCTTAGGTTATATTCGTTACCGTTTCAAAATGTATGATTTTCGTTATTTTCAAATCGGTAATTAATATTGCTGCACAATTCATTGATGATTTTTCTGAACATTTCCATCGAATGATACTTTGGCATTTTTTTTTTATATAATACCCGTGTAGTGCAATTTCATCATTTCCTATATTTGGTTTTAGAAGTTCCGTGGTTAAACACTCGGGTACAACATGCAACTAAAATGAAACTGGATATGTATGATATAGGTACTTGTGTATTATGATCAGCCATCAGCGTGTGTGTAATTGCCAAACTACGTATTCCTTATGTGAATAAATTGTCATGTACTATCTACAGATGAGATGTGTCAACCAAATTTATTTTATAAATAAAATGACAAGTAAAGTGGAAATATTGTTTTATTTATATACTGCAAAGGAAGACTTTTTGTCCGGGGACTTCTTTTCCGTTTACCATCTTCATCAAACGTATTACAGTTTCCATTATTTTTTAATTTAAATTCATTTTTTATTAATATTTGTTTAATAGCAGTTTTTAGTTGCACCACGTTCGGATACTTATTTGATCCGCATCTTTTTCTGTATGGAGCAACCGTCGACCAAATTACGAAAATAATATTTACATCGACACACCGACGATATTTACGATGTTACAATATAATATATTTTCAATAACTTCTAAACATTTTTATTTTTAGATAAGTATAATTTACAAGTATTTGCCGGTCTCGAACTCTCCTCTGACGGGCCACCCCGGGTATTATCGGGCACAAAACGGCACTACGTCAACCAACACAATTGCAGTGTTTATTTACATATATACGAATTATTGTACAAAAATACATTGTGAAACATTAACAATGATGTTGGACCCGAGCGGTCGATTTTCTACAAAACTAGTAACCAACAAACAATAGGATCATTGGGTGGGTTGGCATGCGGTGCAGTCTGTTCAATGTTGGGCCGGTTTCAATATCCTCAAATGTTTTTACCCCCGGGGGTAAAATTAACCTAGGATATTTATACCCCCGGTAAAATTTTAAGGGGGGTAAAACGATTCCAAAGGGGGGTAAAAATATACTAGGATATTATTACCCCCCCCCCCCCCGGTAAAATTAATGAACAGGGGGCTAAAAATAAACTAGGATAATTTTACGATTTACATATGATATTATTACACAGAACTTGAAATTAATATAAGCATACGTAGATTTTAACCACCAAGTTAGGTTATACATAGGTAGGTACATTTTTAAATTATCATAACTGAAATATGTGTTAATTTTCGTAATAGTTATCATAATATTATTTGTAATATAAGTTACCTATATCGTATATTTAGGTATTAGGTAAAGGGACTATATTAATTATTAAAATTTAACTGTAAATCAATTGGATTTATAATTTTATTCCTTTATTTAAAAACAGAAGGTAGGTAAAAAATACAATTAAAATAACATAAATATAATCATCAAGGAACTTATTGGTTTAACTACCTATAGATCACAACTTTTATCATATATTTATTTTTTAAATAAATTGTATATAAAACAATTTTTTTAATCGAATTGTATTTAAATAGGTATTTATTTAATAATTGGTGGATTAATCTGTCATAACTGAGTAATGGTTTCTATGTACGTGACACATGTATATAAAATGTTCAATTACCTTAACTCCGTCTTTGTAGGTACCATTCTTACCGAATAACTGTCAACATTAACGGTAATTTGTATTCAACAAAAATTTGGTTTTAGGGAGGTATAAATGCCCTAGCTTATAATTAACGATCTGTTTAAAATTATGAATGTTGAAAATTATGACAAACTATTTTTGAACAACAAACGGATTGTTGACACCTGCAGGGGCTCGTAGAACGATTGGTTTCGATGGTTTGGGTTTGAAATAACTACAAGACACGATTGATATCGGAAAAAGGTTTATTATTGTTTGAAAAGAGTCATTCGGAAAATTGACACACAAACATATAAAAACACGGTATGAATTTACTAGTAACTGATGGGACTCGAACGTGTGGTATAAGACAATACAATGCCAGAATTACTCCGACTATTGTACTATGGAGGTCTTTTATATATCAATCGGGTACAATGCCGGAATAACTCTGACTGTTGCACCATGGATTGGATGGGCATGGACCAGTTGCGCCTAAAACAATATTTGTATTTTAGGTCAGTAGGTATACCAATTACGCCGCTTAAATTTTAGGTCAGTACACCAAAATTGCGCCGCTTAAATTTTAGGTCAGTACGCCAATTGCGCTACTTATATTTTAGGTTCTTTATTTTTACATGGACATATGTAATTTACCAAACAGCGGAAAAAGTTACATATGTATACTGGGTGATTCTTTTATCAAACAACACTCATTATTTCAAAAAGTGTAAATTTTTTTGAAGATATTTTTTTACATAGTTTCAAGTCACTTATAAAACAACGTTTATATTAAAAAATTATTTTTTTAATTATTTTTTATCCTTATAATTTTTTAAGTTTTTTACTTTTTTGAAAGACAACATAGGGTTTTAATCTTATATTCTAAAGTAGAATATTTTTCTTAGTATTTTGATACATGAAAATTGAATTTGAGGCGAGTAGTTTATGAGTTATAAGTATTTAAAGTTTAGACGAGCGGTGAAGTGGACAAACATTTCGCGGGGTAACCCCGAACCACTCCACTCCGCTCGTCTAAACTTTAAATACTTATAACTCATAAACTACTCGCCCCAAATTCAATTTTCATGTATCAAAATACTAAGAAAATTATTCTACTTTAGAATATAAAATTAAAACCCTATGTTGTCATTCAAAAAAGTAAAAACTTAAAAAACTATAAGAATAAAAAATATTTAAAAATATAATTTTTTAATAAAAACGTTGTTTTATAAGCGACTTGAAACTATGTAAAAAAATATCTTCAAAAAAATTTACACTTTTTGAAATAATGAGTGTTGTTTGATAAAAGAATCACCCTTTATACACAATTAAATATGTTATAATATTTAATATATTATACATTCAAATATGTATACTTAATTTAAAGCAAAACGTATACGAAATTACGGGAAAATACGACAAGCTACAAGCTAATAATAGTACCTATCCCGACTCGACGTAGGGCGAAATATAAAATATTTTATTTATTATTATTAACGAACATATTATAAAGTATGAATTTGAGTGATAGACTACTCGTATAACAAGTTTTCATTATCATTAATGATCGCTAACCACCTATTTATCTGCCTAATTTGTACGTTCCACAAGCTGTCTAATAGGTACTATACAGACATAATATACTATATTATATGGGATAACACAAATCACAATGGTATGACATTTATATGTACGAATGTACGATATTGTAATTTGTTTATGATTCACTCTGTATATTTACAGAAATTTAACCATCAACAAGTGTACTAATAAAAACATAGATAGTAAATAGGTACCTTGTCAGCAGTTTAGTATATTTTGAGTGTTTGAAGTTACAATATGGACCTCTTACAACAAGTTCTGAGTGAAAAAGGCAAACCGTTATTGATTATCAATGAATTTAAATTTCGAAAAATTGGCAAATCAAAAGATGGAATTAAGTGGTGGTGTACCGTCAAATCATGTACCTCAAGCGTATGTTCTGATGAAAGTGTAACTACGCTTTTAACTTCCAACTTAAATCATAATCACGAAAAAAGTTCAAATATTAACAGGCAAATTGTTGCTAATTCTTTAAAAAGAAAAGTAATAGATCAAATAACAACACGACCACTGAAATTAATTCGGAACGAAGTGCAATCAAGTTCAGTTGATTTAACGTTGAACGATGTAAATTCCATAAGATGAAGTGTTTATCGTTCACGCTGAAAAACGTTACCACCACTACCAAAAAACTTACCAGAAGTACATGCAGCTTTAACTAACTTGGATACAAGTACAATAAGTACATACAAGGGTGAGAATATATTGTTAATAAACTATAGTATTTTAAATATAATATGTTTTTCAACAAAAACAAATTTAGAATTTTTATGTACCTACTTGTGAAAAAATATTTGTTGATGGAACTTTTGAATTTTGTCCCAAATATTTTTATCAGCTATTCACGATACATGGCTTAAAAAACGGTCCCTATATACCATTAGTATTTACTTTGCTGCCAAATAAGTCATCTAGTACCTATGAATATTTATTTCGAGTTTTGACTAGTAAATGTGCAACTTTTAACCTTTATTTTAGTCCAAAAACAGTCGTTGCCGATTTTGAACAAGCGATTCATTTTGCTGTTAAAAAAGTTTGGCCTTCAATCACACTGGTAGGTTGTAGGTTTCATTTAACACAAGCTTGGTGGAGGAATATCCAAAAATGTGGACTACAAACTGAGTATAAAAACCCAGATTTTGATATAGGAAATTTACATTTAATTTTTGGAAGAAGATAAATATATATCAAACCGAGCGTATTTAGTGAAGAAAGTGGCCATAGAATCTATTATTAAGAAATACAAATCCGGAAAAATTACTAGCAAAGAATTTTTAAAATCAGTTTCTTATTATTACAGTAAAACATAAATTGTAATTATATTTTTATATTTTTATGTATATTAATTATTTATTATTGACGTGTATCTATGTGTATGATTTGGTATAGTATTATATTGTACAATTATTATTAATATTGACGTTCATTGTATAATTTGTTTGTATTGACTGAAAAAATCTATTTAAAAAACATATTTTCATAAAGTATCTGGAAAAATTACTAGCAAAAAATTTTTAAAATCAGTTTCTTATTATTACAGTAAAACATAAATTGTAATTATATTTTTATGTATATTAATTATTTATTATTGACGTGTATCTATGTGTATGATTTGGTATAGATTTATATTGTACAATTATTATTAATATTGACGTTCATTGTATAGTTTTTTTGTATTGACTGAAAAAATCTATTTAAAATACATATTTTTATAAAAGTATTTTTATATACTAGGTGTAATGTAGAATAATATTTATTAATATAAATATTAATATTATTATAAACCCTGAAAACAACTGAGTGCAATTGGTCTATCTATCCAAAAAAGACAGAGCGCAATTGGTATATCGACCCAAAAAAGACAAAGCGCAATTTATTGGTATATCGACTCAAAAAAAACAGAGCGCAGTTGGTAAACTCCCGATTGGATATATACCACACGTTGAGTCCGGGAGTGAGACTGCCTTTCGAGCCGTGCAAGTCTGCCTGGGTAGGTCTTGCTCCGGCGCCGAAAAGGCAGTGAATGGTATCGGTTCGACCTGTGCTTTGCCCTTTTATACCCATCGCGAGGTGGCAACGGCGTACTCTCAGGCGATGGATAAAGCAGTCGTTGCGACCGGTCGAACGGTGTACAAAGCTGAACAAAAATAAGATGGATAATTAATAACAATTTTAATGAGGTTGATAAATATTTGGGTTGTACAGATAATGATAAATTTAAATATAGATAAGAATGATTTAGGTTTGTATATATAAATATATATTCGTGGAAACACGGATCGTTGATTATATGCTAGGATATTTTTACCCTCCTTAAAAACATATTTATACCGAGGGGGTAAAAATATTCTACTATAAAAATTCAATGGAAGGTAAATGTATTCTAGTATATTTTAAACAGATCGTTAGTTATATGCTAGGATATTTTTACCCCCCTTAAAAACACATTTATACCGAGGGGGTAAAAATATTCTACTATAAAAATTCAATGGGAGGTAAATGTATTCTAGACTCTAGTATATTTTAAACAGATCGTTAATTATATGGTATGATATTTTTACCGGGTGGGGGGGGGGTAATAATATCCTAGTATATTTTTACCCCCCCCCCCCCCCGGTAAAATTAATATAGTATTATTAATTATAGTATCTATAAATAATCATAATGATATTGTACACAAACGGTGACCCGTGAGCCGTTTGATTGTTATAGTAACAACCAGACTTGTTATTATCGACGGAAATCAAAACGACATACCTACCAGCACATGATTATGTTTCATAGAGTTGCAATACATTGGCACAATTTTGTGTTATAAGCGTTTAAAGTTCAATTGTTGTCAAAATTTATCAAATTTATAATTTTAATTTATTTTTCGCTCAGAATTGTTTTTCTTGTACAATGATATTATATCATTGTATTCAAATTTAACACAATCCATTACATATACCCACCTTTGTTGAAATATGTTTGAATTCGTACTTGGAATACTTCTATACAGCCTATACACGATGTTGCGATTGAAACTGTCGGGCGATGCCGGTTCCACCAAAAGTGTAGGTACCTTTCCCTTTTCCACCAATACCCGTTTCTACCAAAGGTGTATCTTACCCTTTTCCACCAATATACGTTTCAACCAAATAAAATAAAAAAATTAAAATCAATATAATATTTATTATGGTATAATTGTAAATGGTCAGATATAAAAATTTGAAAAAAAAAAATATAATAATTATTATCATGTTCGTGGTTATGTATATTGATTGGTCCGATAATACTTCATAATTATTATCAGTAGGTATACACTTTTTCGAAACAACTTTTTTTAATACATCGCCAACGAATATTTTCATTAGTTTTGTTTACTGATCCAATAAAAAATTTAAAATTGTCTAGTATTAGTGTTTTGTTTCCACGTTTAATTTCAATCACTTTAGCCATCACAGAATTATAAATTTTAAAAATTACATTTTATTTTAACACACACGCAGTTGTAACTCACTATTTAAACTTTGCAACCTTTTCACTTGTTCGTAAAATATTGTCCCGTTAGATATTATCATGGTTAATCGACATAAAATATAAGTACGATAACGGTAAATAACGATAAACGTACGATATACATTGATTATATTATGTGTATATTTATATATATATATATATATATATAGGTACATTTTACATCAATCCGAAAAACCCACGAAAAGTATATGTATTCTACGATTGAAAAAAAAATATCAACCAAAAAATATTGTTTACTGTGTGTCTGTGTAGAATATAGGAAATAATTATTAAAATGTGGTTTGGTAAAAAACCATTGAAATATAAAAAAACATGTGAAGATATAAAATTATACATAATATTATCACAAAAATACAAAAATAGGTTGAACTTTTATTAGATAATGTTATATAGGTACCAACAATTATTAATTAATTTTATTTAAAATTAGAAACTACCACTATGGCAATCAAACACACTAACAGAACGGATCTAATGGTAAAACGTTAAATTTGTAAATATGACAAAAAAAGTTCAAAATAATTATAACTCAAAATGTTAAACGGACATATACCATAAGGAAATATATGGCTGTACGAATCTAATAATCACATAATGCGTTTTTAACTTTTTGCTACCCTGATTATAGGCGAAATAAAGGTCGTACACACTTTGACCATACTTCCTTTTCGAATCGCCGTAGGTACGCCAAAATAACAGCAGAGCGACATCCACTTACCAACCTTTTTAAGGAATACAATTTATTGTAGAAAATATTATAGTATTATTATTATTATTATTATTGTTTATTAAACGCCAAAACGGCAATTGTATATAGTGTAACAAATATGGTATAAGTACAGTACGGTAGAATACATAAATAGTTAAATTAGATACAGAAATAATTTTGATAAAAGTATAAATAATTCACAGTTTACATGTTATAATATAGATAAATAGTATAATTCGTGGCCTAAGGATTATTGATTGTTTGCAAATCTGAGCATGCGGTGTAGAGTGTGGTTGTGCCCATAGGAGGTCTTGTGGGTTGGGACGTAAAATTGTGATTGGTTTCTGGAAGAATGCGAAGGAACTCTGAATGGGATGGCTGCAAGGAGATCAGGAACGTCTAAAGAACCACTTAGAATTGAGTTTAGGAAGTTTAAGTCTGCTTTAGCACGACGAGAGGAAAGAGTGGGGATGTTCAAAACTTGCCTTATGTTGGAATAATCATGATTTTCGTGATAAATTTTCATTTTGAAGGCAATAAAGTTAAGAAATTTATTTTGGACACGTTCAAGTCGTAGCTGGTCTTTGGCTAAATACGGTTGCCAGACCACTGATCCAAACTCTAGGAGAGAGCGAACCAGGGCATAGTATAATGTACAAAGGCATCCGACCGACTTAAATAGTTTTGTATTACGTATGATGAACCCGAGGACTTTAAGTGCTCTATTAACTATTGCATTTATGTGAGTGCTAAAACATAGATTAGGCGAGTAAATTATGCCAAGGTCTTTGATGGAGGAAACTTGTTCAAGTTCCGTGCCGTTAAGAAAGTAGGTGGTTATAATTGGTGTTAAAGATCTGGAGAAGGAAATAACGTTACACTTAGAAAGGTTTAGGGTTAAACCTAAATGAGAGACCCATTCTGTAAAAATGTCTAATTCACTCTGAAGTAGGGTGGAATCTGTAGGGGATCCAATTTTATGAAATATCTTTATATCATCCGCATACAACAAAAATTTTACTTGTTTAAGCTGTAAGGAGATAGAGTTGACAAAAAGTGAAAATAGTAATGGGCTTAGGTGGCCGCCCTGGGGCACGCCAGAAGTTGTTACAAATGACTTTGAAGAGGTGCTCAGGATTGATACGAATTGGTTTCTTCCAGTCATGTAAGATTTAAGCCAAGATAGTAGTGGGTTACCAACTCCCATGCTTTCCAGTTCGTTTATTAATATATTGTGACTGACGGTGTCAAAAGCCTTCTTAAAATCTGTTGTTATGGTATCGACTTGATAACCAGATTCGAGGCATTCGGCAATGAACGTCGTAAAAGTAACACTGCTAGTGATGGTAGATTT